CCATTATCGTCTCAACCATCCCAAAAGGTCTTTCCTATGCGGTACCCACGAAGTTTTTTATTTATCATTTTCCTTTTTATGCGCCAGATATGTCCTCATCAAATCCTTTTGCTCTCCATTATTGTTACCATAATATCGTCTACGTGTGCCCACAAAAGCATGGTAACATGTAGGTATCAACACTTTAACTCAGTTAAATACTTATATTGCTCAGTACCCTATATTCTATAACATATTTGTGAATTCTACTTAYGAGGCATGAGATTAGATTAGATAGATTAGATCAAAAATTCCAATGACTTACAACTTTAAAACTCTATATTTGCGCATACCTCCACAACTTCACTTTTTCTGTGTAGAGTGTTACGTACCTTGTTTTCGTGCACACGCGTTATTTCTATTAATTATCACATAATATTCAATGAAAACATATAAAAAATAATTACACGGTGATCAGTAAATTATAAATAATAGGTTTCCATTCAATTTCTGCGATTACATTTCAAATTTTTAAATTTGAATATTAACAATAGTTTTCAAGTCATGMACTGCAGTTGGAACATATAGTATAGTATATAATCAATTAAATTAAGGAGGTATATTAATTATTTTTAACCACATTATATTTTTTGTTAACTAAATAATATATTGGTAAACTATTAAATAAGTTTCTAATAATTGATTTTTAAACACGCTGAACACCTAATCTGCGATAATGGTTTTTATTTATTAATATTAGAACCTAACACCGATCTGAAAAGTTAGGTGTGATTTTCATGCTAAAATATTGGTAAATTTAACTGAAACTTAAAACGCATMAAAATCTCTAGACACGTGAAATGCATACYACAACTCCATATTATAGGACATACACAATAATATGTAAAGCACGTAAAAAATAATATTATGTAAAATGCCAATAAGATGTAACTAAGCGTAATCTTATATAATGTATATTATTATTATTTATTACACTCGTATTTGTTTATGAGCGCCACTTCTATATAAGCATAATATATTGTGTTTTATTTTTATGCTTACCTAATTAATTACCTATAATATGGGGATATATGCAAAAACATATTTACACTGAACGATAGATAATTAATCATTCGTCTGCGTTAAGTTCCATTCCCCTTGCCCCTCAATCATTTSCTAATGTATTATTGTAATATATCACTAATTAGTAATTAATAATTATCATAGTATTCATTATTTTATTATTTACTGAACATAATATAGGAATGGTAAAGTATTAATCCGCGACCAACCGCAGTACAGGATACTTACACGGTTATCTATAGGTACATTTTAAACTATACGTTATTTGAGTTTATGTTGTGAATCGATTGCTAACTATGTAACTAGGT